CCTTAATATTTCAGAAAGGCGTGTGCGCATGTGTGCACTTGTGTGCGTGTGTGCACATGCAGGTACAGTGTACGCAAGTGATTAAAACAGTAAAGCATCCATAATGTGTAAATATAGGTTGTGTGTTTTCTGTTCCTTTTTTGCAACTTATCTCTAATTTCAAATTAAAAAGACTGTATATTAGAGGACACAAACACTATGGTGTAAACTCTGCTGCTATTAGTGATGATGTTATCGACAAACAATAAACAGACCCTTAGTTACTATCTCTACTTATGAGAGTTCATTAATTTCTATTAAATGAAAAGTTCAGCATACAAATACAGAAATGTTAGTACAGTACTAGTATTTTTTGAAGATTGTGTCTACATGAGAATAACTGACAATACTGCTATTTATTTTTATTTTATTTGTGTGTGTGTGTGTGTGTGTGTGTGTGGCCAGCTCAGCCCACCAGGGGGCGGGGCTGGCTGGCATGCAGTGCTGGGGGATTGAACCGCAGTCCCTGTGCTTTGCTAAGCTTGCTCTAAGTAGGTGCTTTAGACCACTGAGCCATCTCACCAGCCCCAATACTGCTATTTAAATGTCGCATGTTGTCTGCCTTTTGAACTGTGATAGAACTTATGCTTTGTCCAAAAAAAAAAAAAAACCAGCATTTTCTATAGTTCCTGTTAAGAGTCAAAACATAGATGGCAGAAAGTATTACAGTTAGAATTCAGTGTCATATTGTAATAAGGGCTTCCCTCATAGGCGTTCCTAAAATCCCTACGGTATTTTTTTACCTCACTGATTTTGTGAAATTGTGTTTATGCTTCCATCACTGCACTATATTTTTTAAGTATGAGATAGTCTCCCTCAGCTAAGCCTATAAATACCCAAAAGAAAGTTAACAAAAAATTTGCTCAACGTTTTTTCATCATTTTGCAATTTATAGTAGAAATACCATTATCATGAGCATATCGAAAGAATTAATCCTCCCACTTGAGTGGGTCTACTAGGTATTACTGCTGTGGGCTGAAGCTGCTATAGGTTTTTCTGAAAAAATACAAAACTTTATTCACAGCACTAAAATATTAAATGTCACTTTCATGATTCGGGGCTGTGCTAACTCACCATGCACACTGTGGATTTAGCTGACATGAAGTGTATACTTCCAGGTTCACTGGTCTAGCAGAGGGCTTGCAGGCCATGTTTTCTGCTGCTCAGGATGAGGACTGTTACTCCTACTCAGACATGTTGAGACTGAGTGGGAGTGATGAGTGAAAATTACGGTGAACCTAAAGGTGTATGATAGCAATCTGGGCCTTGGCAGAACAGAGTTGCAGTGGCCCTCTCCTCCAAACTTCTCTAGCGCTGGACACGGAAGTCCACAGAAGGGCAGGACAATGAGGGAAGGACAGAAATCTTGGTCCCTGACTCTCACTACTTCTCTGCTATTCATCTTCTGATTCTCTGCACGTAGGGAATCCCTAATTAATCCTTCCTTCATACAGTAGTCTCAACCCTGTCTTAGGGAAGTTCTATACCTTATAAAAATAGCCTTGTCATAAATTTTTCAAGAAGTACATATTTCATTTGTATTGCACTTACCATGGTTATAATTCGCATTTGATTTGTGTGCTAATTGAATTAAATCCCTGCTTTTCTTTGTGGCTTATATACCCTGGCACCAAAGTACAACGCACACAAGCTTGGCACGTAGCAGACACTCAATAAACATTTAATAAGTAAAGGGAAAAAAATGTCGCATGTTATCTGCTCTCAAGAGCTTTATGTTTCTGTCCATCTTGGCCTTGACTAATCCCAGTTCCTTTTGCTGTCCAGTGAGGGTTTGATTCTAACCATAGTGCTCAGACAAGGCAGGCTGCTGTGACCGGGCACTGTGGGTTGGTGCAGGAGCGACAGAAGTGTGTTCCTCGCAGTGCTAGGGCTGGGGTGTCCAAGACCAAGGTGCCACTCGATTCTGACTTTTGGGCTCCCAGAAAGACCACTGACCTGCTTCTGGCATGTTCTGTAAGGGGTACCCGCCCCAGGGTTCTTTGTGAGAACATTTGTTCCATCCACGAGGACACCCCTCCTCATACCTTCTGGAGTTAGGACTTCACCCAGTGAATTTACTTCACACGCTCAGCACGTGATGAGTGGGAGGCGTGATGGCCAACCCTGCCCTATCTTAGCTTCTGCATCGGGCCCCGCGGTGGCTTTGGACAAACCATTTAGCGCTGCTGGATGATGCAGTCACTGCTCTCTGCATTGCAGAACTGCTTGGGAGTTACATGAGGGTCTTCTGGAACAGTATCCTGTGCAGTGTAATGTGCTTATGGAACAACTAGAACAGGGAGCCTAAAGTGTTTTGCTTCTGCTGTTTAAAGGACGATAGGTAAAAATAATAATAATAAAATAAAAAGGACAGTCGGTACTTGCCACCATTTTTAAAGTTCGTATATAATTGCTGTGCTTTCCTCATTATGCCAAGGCCTCTCGGGAAAGAAAAGGGCCAATAGCCAGTGGTGTAACAGCTTACACATTAATTATATGACCCTTTCACAGGTACAGGGCACTGTAGTCCTTACGTGCTTATTGGTGGCCACTGCTTTGATAATAAGTGATGCAAGCCCAAAGCTTTAGTTCTCACTCTCATCCCCTTTTGGCTGTGGTGGGCAGTGGTGCCCCTTCTGTTCTCCATATCCTTTTCATCTCAGGACTCAGGCAGAAGAGCAGCCCGCTCCAGGACATGCCACACTCCTGGCTGAAGGAAGAGTCAGCGCGGACTCTTAGGAGAGTCTTTAAGGTTCTGTTTTAAGGTTCTGCTTAGTTGAGGCCCTGTGTTGCCTCTGATCACATTTCTTTGGCCAGAGCAAGTCACATGCGCAAGCAGGGGTGGGGCGAGTGAGCACTCTCCTCCACCAGGTGGCCCATGGCAAGTCTGAGTACAACCACTACCCTGTGTTTGTTCCCTTATTTGTCTAAAAGCACATTATCAGTTTTAATGAAAGTAAGCAAGAATTTAGAAGAAAATATTTGCCACCAAAAAGAGTTGAGGGTAATGACTTGCAAGGACATTGGAGCTTTGTTTCTGTGTCTTGGATTCAGAATACCTGGAAGACCGTACCATCGCATACCCTGGGCTCCTTCCCTGAAAGTTTCCCGAGTTTTATTGAACAGAGAAGTCACCAGGGATCTCTGCTGACGTTTCCCTTTTGGTCCGCTGTTTAATGGACTCTTGAGGAAGAGCCTGGTTAGCCCAGCCACGGCCAAGTGGAACCCACTGCCATAGCCAAGGGCAAGACCTGGGACACTGAGAGAGCCTGCCAGGATGACAGGGCCTCTCATTTATCTGACCCTGACATCTTAGTGCCACTCGTACTACGGGTATTGCCCAGGCCAGGAGTAGTGCTAGAGTGGAGAATTGGTAAGCAAATAGCGATTTTACTAAACTTTCACTTCATTTTAGTTGGTGGTTTTGCTCTGCTTTCCAGTATAAGAAGGCATATTTCTGTGTTGATCAGTGTCTTTCTTAACGTAATAATTGCAAATCTGCTCTGAATAGGAGAGACAGGTTCAGTGTCCGGAGGCTGTGTAGTCACAGTCTTCTGGGCTTTAGCCCTGGGCGACCTGCATTTCACCTTTGTGGAAACTGAGGTGCAGTCACCTGAGAGTTTTGCCCTTGATGCAGGGAGTTTGCAGCTACTCCACAATTCAGACCACTTTGTTTTCCTGCTCTGGACCTAGTGATTCAATGAGATGCAGTTTTTCAAATAGTCTTTTCTTAAAATAAAATGAAGTAGCATATTTTAAAGAGTATAAGGGGTCAGGGAGATGGCTCATGGGGGCTGGTGAGATGGCTCAGTGGAATAAGCACTTCTCTGGCAAGCGCAAGGGCCTGAGTTCAATCCCCAATTCTGAAAAAAAAAAAAAAAAAAAAAAAAAAAGAGTTGTTTTGTAATACTCTTCTTGTCGTATAAAACAAGCTTACCTCATTCACCATACCTAATTGGTATAGTTATGTACTACTAGGAGTTTTTTACAAAGAGTATAATTTTAAATTTAATATTCTCAGTTCATTGTGATGCAGAATTGATTCAAGGAATGGATATAGGTATGCGTGTGTGTGTGTGTGTGTGTGTGTGTGTGTGTGTGGTACTAGGACTGAACCCAAGACCTTCACACTGAGCTACACTCCCAACCTGTTTAGAAAATGTGTTTTAAGGCTTTTTTTTTTTT